TCACAGAAATAGCAGCTTAAAACAAAACACATTTCTGTGTGTCTGGAGTCCAGTGTCGCTTAACTGGGCCCTTTGCCTCGGGGTCTCTTGCAGGGCTGTAATCGGGGTGTTGACCAGGGCTACAGTGTCATCTGAAGGCTCACTTGTGGAGAGATCTGCTTCCAAGCTTCCATGGCTGTTGGCAGAATTTCCATTCCTCCAGAGGAGCTGGACTAAGGGCCTCTGTTTCTGTCTAGCAGTTGGCTGGAGTCCTTCTCCAACTCCTTGCGAGGTGGATCTCCCTAATATGGCAGCTTGCTTCATCAAAACCAACAAGATAATTTATTGAGAGAGTCTGCTAGGAGACAGACGTCATAATCCTGTGTGACTTAATTACACAAATGACATCCCATCACCTTTGGCATATTCTGTTGGTTAAACGCAAGTCACAGGTCTCGCCCACGCTTAAGAGAAAGGGATTATGTAAGGGCATGAACACTAGGAGTGGGGGGCCACTGGGAGCCACATTCGAAGCTGCCTACTACAGACGGCTATTGTAGGAAGATAGAATAGCATAATGATTAAGAGGGAGGATTTCCATGTCACTTAGAAATGACATCAAATCTCAGACCTGTCATGTACTGCGTGACCCAAGTCAGGTTACCTGGCCTATCTGAGTTCCTGCTTCCCCGCCTGTTCAGCCCCTTCCCCATAGGATTGGTGCAATTTTAAAATGGAGAGCTAGCCTAACAGAATGGAAGTACTCAGTAAAGGTCGGCTGCGAGCTTTTCTTTTCTTTGCCTTTCTTTTTTGCCTTTCTTGAAATATCATTAGACTTTTTGGATTGTAAAAGAATAGCATGGAACTTCCCAGTGTCCCCAGATTTCATGTGGCAATCCCAGAGCTGGGGGTGGTTTCCTCCCAGACTGGCTGTGCAATCCTCCCGTTTGCCTGGGGGCTCAGGGATGAGGAATGCGGGTCTTTGGCCCCAGGAGGACCGTAGCTTCCTGCTATGACCACCTCAGAATGCAGCTGGCAGGACCACTCCCAGGTCTCTGTCCCCCCCCTTAACTGGATCAGCCACTTGCCCTGCAGAGGGCGTGACCATGGTGACCAAGACTGGGCCAGCTGAGCCACTGTGTTCTCCCAACATCCTTGTGTTTCTACTCGGAGGTCCCGAGGGCAGCCCACCATGACTTCAGTCCATCCACAGAGCTGAGCAGGTAGATCTGGAGATGGAGCCCCTCTTCTCTGCTCACTTTGACCTGGGTCATGCCGAGCAGACAGCTGGTTGCTTTGCCTGTGCGTGGTCGGGAAGCTCTGCCATCTTCTCGGCTCGCTGTGCCTTCCCCTCCGCCTCTCCGCTTTGCTTTCCTCACTTCCTCCCTGTCTCCTATAGGCCTCAGGGACGGGGTGCTTGCAGAAGGCCACTGCTGGACCATCACAGGCCGCGCTCATCTCCACCCTCCCTCCCAACCAAAACAACTCTGCCTCCCTTCGCCCCCTGTCCCCATCCTTTGCATCCAGAGATCCTATTCTTGGTCCCTCTGTTGCCCCACCTGCAGCCCCCTCCACAGCTGTGGGAGAACTTTCTGGAGTCTTCCTGTGTCATTCAGGCACCTATGTCATTCTGCAGTGGAGATGCTGGCTCGTCTATGGCCATACCACCCTGAACGCGCCCGATCTCGTCAGAGTTCGGAAGCAAAGCAGGGTCGGGCCTGGTTAGTACTTGGATGGGAGATGCTGGCTCTAGAGGCCACTTCTTTATTTTTTTTTAGACCATCTGATTATATCTAATGTGAATGTGTCCCCAGCTTCCTTGAAAACAAAATGGAGTTCTTAAAAGTGGAGCCCCTGGGCCCTTCCTTGGAGAGCCAAGTTCAAGGTGGGGTAGGGGGCGGAGGGCTAGGATGGGGCCTGGGAATGTGTATTTTTAGTAAGTGTATCAGCTAATTTCTGTCAGAGAGATTTAGGAAACATTGGTCTAAGCATGCCAAACCCAGACCCAATCCCTCTTTTCTGGTGTAGGGAACAGGAGGGAAGATCTGAAAGTCTGGGTCACTTCCCAGGAAGGCTCTTCTCTTCTAACCTGTGGGCCCCAGCCCAGCCCATTCAGTGCTCTGACAATGAAGCAGATTGTAGCACAATTTGATTCTTCAAAAAATGTTCTGTAGTTACTGCCTTTTAAATCGGTCTTTCCTCTCACATATGCAGGAGAATACTATGTGAGGAAGTGTTTTCCTTTGTGGCGTTGTACTTAGAACATTAGTAAAATATGGTGCTGGGCGGAGTGGCACAGCTGGGTGATCCAGACGGCGGACTGGATTGTATCACGTGGATGGGATCTGAGGGCTTGCATTGATACGCTCCCCGTCGACTGGCCTTTCTTGGCAACAGATGTGGGAAATCACAGTGAGAATCTTCCTTTTGTTCCTAACAGCTGTCACCCAGCTGCTGGAAGGGTGTCGTTTTAGCATCTAGTGTGTGGGTGAACTTGGTCTCTGTTGAGGGAATAAAAATGCCCTAGTAATCCACAGACCCAGAGGTACTTGTCCTGCTCCAGGGGACCTAGAAGGGAAGTTTCAGGGAGCAAAGAATGCTGCTAGCCTCTGTTCTGGAATGCTGCTGGCCTCTGTGAACAGCTGCATTGAAGTAGCATTAATAGCATGCCCGTGGAGAAACAGGCATAAAGAAGGTTGCTGCATTTCTTCAAAACTGTGGTTTTTTTTTTGTTGTTTTTTTTTTTTGAGACGGAGTTTTGCTCTTGTTACCCAGGCTGGAGTGCAATGGCGCGATCTTGGCTCACCGCAACCTCCGCCTCCTGGGTTCAGGCAATTCTCCTGCCTCAGCCTCCTGAGTAGCTGGGATTACAGGCACGACCACCATGCCCAGCTAATTTTTTTTGTATTTTTAGTAGAGACGGGGTTTCACCATGTTGACCAGAATGGTCTCGATCTCTTGACCTTGTGATCCACCCGCCTCGGCCTCCCAAAGTGCTGGGATTACAGGCATGAGCCGCTGCGCCCTGCCCCAAAACTGTGGTTGATGGTCGATGCTGCTGGTGTTACTCAGTAGCCCTTACATGAGGTTTAAATAGCAAAGTGGTTTTGTAGGAAAAGTTTCTCGCTTAAGAGCATTCTTTAAAAGGAAAAAAAAAGAGCTTTCTTTTTATTTTATTTTTTATTTTTTTTAATTAGTAAATTTTTATTATTTTTTTTCTTTTTAATGAGTATTCTACAGTCAGGCTGGATTCAAAGACTGCTTCGCCTAAAACATTCTGTCCAGAGATCAGAACACTTAAAATTCTCTTTTCCCTTTGAATTTTTTTGTATCTTCTTGTCTATGTCTCTTTTATGTCATCTTTTTTGACCTTGTAAGGATTTAACAAATTGTTGAAGTTACCTTTTGATTTAATTATGTATCTCTAATAAGTACTAATTGAATCTGTAGCATTTTATAAACAATGGGACTATTTTTTACATGTTGTTGGCGTTTTTCTATTTGGATCTTATTTTTGAACACTTAAAGGATTTTTGAGCCAGTTTGTATAAAGATACTTTCTTCAAAAATATATTTGTGATGTCTGTGTCATTGCATTACTTTGTGAAGTTGATAGCTTAAAATATGAAATGCAGTGAAATCTATTACAATTTTTATTCGTCTGCCTTATTTCTAACTGCTTATTGTCAAAATCTAATTCCCCACTCAACAGAAAAATATAGGTAATATGCAAATTTGGTTAATGACATAAAGTGCTTTAGGCATATGGAGTGAAAAAGCAACAATATGGAGGTGAGACTAGCACAAGAGATGCATTTGATGATTTCTACATAAAACTCAAAAGGTTTATGAGTTGGAAACAAAACTTGAATGTTTGTCAGGTTGTTGAATGGTTCTAGAAGTAGACTGAAGAGATACAGAGATACAAAATAATTCTATCATATGACTGGGTACAATGGCTCATGCCTATAATCCCAGCACTTTGAGAGGCCAAGGTGGGAAGATCACTTGAGATCAAGAGTTCAAGACTAACTTGGGCAACATAGAGCCAGTCTCTACCTACCACCTCCCCACAAAATTCACTAAGTGTGGTGTCACGTGTCTGTATCCTAGCTACTTAGGAGGCTGAGGCAGGAGAACTGCTTGAGCCTCGGAGATCAGGCTACAGTGAGCTATGATTGTGCCACTGTGCCCAGCCTGGGCAGCAGTGAGACACTGTCTCTTAAAGAAAAGCCAGGCATGGTGGCTCACGCCTATAATCCCAGCATTTTGGGAGGCTGAGGCAGGCGGATCACAAGGTCAGGAGTTCGAGAGAAGCCTGGCCAACATGGTGAAACCCCCGTCTCTACAATAATACAAAAATTAGCCGGGTGCAGCAGCATGCACCTATAATCCCAGCTACTCAGGAGGCTGAGGCAGAATAGCTTGCACCTGCGAGGCAGAGATTGCAGTGAGCTGAGATTGTGTCATTGCACTTCAGCCTGGGCAACACAGCGAGACTCCATATCCAAAAAAAAGGGAAAAAAAATTCCAACATTCAAAAATTGCTGCACATTTGAGCAAATTTAATAGAAATATAACATTAAGCTACAAATGGATTGTAAAATCCTAAAATTGTTGTGGAATCCCCCAAAATAAATTAGTTGCAAAATTCTAAAAAAATGAAGTGGTTCCAAAAATCCTAAAAATGACAACAGGATGTCAGAAAAAGTATAGGACACTTGACAGGGATTCAGAAACTGAGCAAGAAGTTGCCTTTTAAGCAAATTGTTCATTACACCAATTGCCCTGCAGTCTCGGGGGGATAACAGCCAAGTGGGGAGTGTGGGTTGAAAAACTACTCTCTGGTGTCTTTTTTTTTTCTTCTCTCTCTTTGCTTTTCTTATTTTAATTGACTTCATGCATATGTATCTTTCCCTGTAAGCTATTTAAAATCTTTTGGGGCAGTAGGTGGCCTAGAAATCATAAATTATACATTAAGTCATGTTCTCTCAACTCACACGCCCACTCTCCTATTCCAGAGAACAGCCCATCTTCACCACCCGAGCGCATGTCTTCCAGATCGACCCCAACACCAAGAAGAACTGGATGCCTGCGAGCAAGCAGGCAGTCACTGTTTCCTACTTCTATGATGTCACAAGGAACAGCTATCGGATCATCAGTGTGGATGGAGCCAAGGTACCACCCCACCCCCTAGCTGATTTTAACACTCTCAGTTGCTTATTCTTCATCCAAGATGTACTCAGAATCCTGCCATCTTAACACAGAAGTTGTTGTAATGTCTGTATAATCACATATTCTGTTCTTTTTTCATTTAAACTTATGGTAAATGGGGTAGAAAAAGATTTCTTTGTTTCCACTGTCTTTATAACTTTTTAATGCGTGTGTAATAATTCCACCGACGGCCTATAATGCTCTTAATTTTTCCCCTGTGGTTGGATATTTAAGTGACTTCCAATGTTTTGCTATTATAGATAATGAGCATCTTCATGTACCAGATATCCTCAGTTCATCACACACCATTGCTTTCTTTTGAGTAATCCTTAGGCTAGATTCCTGGAAGTAATATATAGGGCCAGGTATTAACACTTTATGGCTTTTGATGCATACTGCCAAGCTGTTTTCCAGAAGGGTTCGTTCTTCCAGCCTGTATGAGTGTTACTGCACCCTTGCCAGCACTGGGTATTCTATCTAGTCGGGTTTTGGTGTTATTAGGCATAGGAGTTGAATTTTATTAAGTAGTTTTAAAGTGTTTCTTGACAAAAAAAAAATATATATATATGTATGTTACTCTGTGTCCCATGATTTTCGCCACATTATCATGGGAATAGAATTAAGACGGGATACCAGCAGAAGTATCACCAAGCCTTTAAAAAAGATAGACCTGCTGGTTTGTGGTCTTTCTGTCTTCGTCCTGCTGTACATTTTTTACATGGATTATCCGCTGCCTCCTGGAATTCAGTGTATCTAAAGCTGAATTCCATTGTCCTCTAAACCACCTCTCCATTTTTATTCGCCATTCGTTTGGGCTAATAAAGCAAAACACAGAGTCCTTCTCTTTAAGTTTGTCAAGTGAATCTGCCTTTGAAGTATCACCCCTGTGCCTGCAGTTTTAGGACCCTAACTCTTGTCCTGTCGGTCTCGCCTGGACGCTTGCAGTAGCCACCACCTCCCCCACCTGCAGTCTGTTCTGACTTCTGCCTCTAGATCAGCCTTGCTACACCATAGGAAGCACGGGAGTTAGGGGCTGAGCAATAGAATGGGCCTGGGTATAGGCTTCTCCCCGCACTCCACAAGCAGAAGGCTTGGGGAAGCCTCCGGGGAAGGTCTCCCAGGGAAGGCGTGAGAGTCTGCTGGTGCCTCCCAATCTCTTCAGGGGATCAGGGCACTTCAACCCTTGTTCTCTAAGGGAACTGCTTTGTGCCCTTTTTCTGCGCCTTGGCAACTGCAGGTAAAGGTGGCTCGACCCTGGGATCCTCTTGCTGTCCCATCCAGTTGCCACAGCACTTCCTCCTCCTCAGGAAGGGACCCAGCAAGTCCTCATTTTATAGCTGAGGTCTAAGGAAAGGCAATGACCTGTCCCAGGTTCACGCTGCTGGGGAGGCTTGATTGGCTGGGGCCGGTGCCCAGTTTTTTGCACACCAGTTCCTTGTTTGTGGGGGTTGGAGCAGGCTTCTCCTGGTTGGTAGAGGAGAGTTTCCTGACACATGTCGGGTGGGTCGTGTGTTGTCTCCCTCTACTTCAGAGACAAAGGAACTGGTCTGTCCAAGCAAGCAGGATGAGAGTAGAGTGAAAGCACATCCCAGGAGCTGGTGAGCAGTAAGGAAGTGTGCTGGTGCCTGGCACATAGTAGGTAGGCACGTCGAGTTTGATGGGGGAACATCTGAAAGGTGTCTTTATTTTTTTTGCTTCTGGGAGACGTGTTGATGCACAGTTGTAATTACCAGTCCTCTCCTCTGTGCTTCTGCGCTGGAATTGCCTGGACTCTTTCCAGGATGTTCTGACAGCAGTGGTGAATCAAGCTGACCTGCTTTCTTTTATCTATAGATTCTGTCAGTTCATCTGCCATCCTTCGATGAATTTGTACTTTTGTCAGTTGAGTTATCCAAGGATATATCGGGCTTAAATATAGATAAAACGACTTTCTTAGAGCAAGGGCTTTAGTTCTATTAGCTGAGCTTTTAGTAATTTGTCCAAGTGTCAGCCACTGTGTCGTTACGGCTCTGCAGTTCCTGAAGGCTGTGACAATGTGGTGGGGTCCAAGGCAAATATGACAGTTAGGAGAAATGAGATGGGTGTGGGAAGGTGGGCTAAGCCCCTGGCTGCAGCACGGCGCTAACCCAGGCTCAGCGTGAGAGCACCATCAAGCCCTAGACTCACTCACAGACTGGGAATCCAAAACCTAGGCCATGGGGTGCTGCTGGAACTCCAAGCCACCTAGAGGATCTTGGACTTCCCTTTCTGTGGTTCCCAGCTACCTGGTTTTTTGTTTTGTTTTTTTCTTTTCTTTCTTTCTTTCTTCTTCTTTTTTTTTTTTTTTTTTTTTTTTTGAGATAGGGTCTCACTCAGTTGCCCGGGCTGGAGTGCAGTGGCACGATTTCAGCTCATTGCAACTGCCACCTCCTAGGATCAAGCACTTCTCCCGCCCCAGTCTCCCAAGTAGATGGGATTACAGGTGCCTGCCACCATGCCTGGATAATTTTTGCATTTTTAGTAGAGACAGGTTTTACCACGTTGGCCAGGCTGGTCTCAAACTCCTGGCCTCAAGTAATCTGCTCACCTTGGCCTCCCAAAGTGCTGGGATTACAGGTGTGAGCCACCACGCCCTGCTACCACCAGCTATTCCAGCTTTAGTGCTCTGGCACCAGAGATCCGTGACAGAGCCTCATTCTACAAAGGAAGCATCCCATGAGGGAACAGAAGGCTCCAGGAAGTGGGGAGTAGGGATGGACCTCAGTTGTTTAATTACTATCGCTGACACTCAGGGGCGAGGGTTAGGGCACGTGTGTCTGGAGAACCTGACCACACTGCACTGGAAAGTGGTCCCAACACAAACCCAGCCCTGCTGGGCCCTCTCTTGGCACGGCAGGCAGCAACCTGTAAACCCAGCAGGCCAGGTCTAAATCAGACCCTATGCCTTCAGCTCCTCCACAAGACGGGTGGGCATGGAGAGAGGACCCTAGAGTGGTAGCAGCTGTTGCTGCTGTCTGGTCCCCCGCGGTGTGCCCCTTCCCCACCCATTACTAAGGTCCTCATCTCCCTGAGCCCGGTCTTGATCGTGCCTGAACACTCTAGATGGATCGCCTGCCGTCTGCAGACTTGAATCGGGTACAGTGTGCTGAGCCAACTGCTGGGCATCTGTGCTGATGCCAGTGCCTTCCCCTATGGGCTCCTGTCTGTTGCCCTTGCCCACCCTCACCCCCATCTCTGTTCAGTCAGCTTGGTTCCACTTCTGTTATTATTCCTGAGGATCTATTCAGGCCTGGAGCCCTGCTCCCTGCCCAGCACACACCCCAGGTCTCATGCGTGCCGTGGAGCCTCAGGCAGACACTTAGGCAGGGATGCACCTGGGCTGGGTAAGTGTGGACACTTCCTGGCATCCCTCTTGTTGTGTTCTACCACACTGAGTCAGCCCCACTTTGTTTTGGGCCTTTGATGTCAAATGTTGATCTGAACCGAGAGGACAGGTGGTCAGATTCCTTTAGCCTTTGGGGCTGCGTCTTAGCTCATGGGCTGCACTTCTGTGACGCTGGGCAGGTCTAGCGCTTGAGTCTTGCCTGTCTGTCAGCTGGGTCACATCAGGTTTATTACTTTGAGCTTCTGCATGGTACTTCTGGGCCATCTGTCCCTCTCAAAGCCAGAGGTTGTCGTAGGCTGGAAAGGGGAAGCCTCCTCCACCCCTCCCCAGGGAAGGAGTAGACGTGTTTCAGTAGGAAGTGGCTGGTGTAGAAGGGACTCAGAGGTCATTTTGAGCAAAGGCCACGTCATACTCAGCTTCCGTGGAAACTGTGGGCAGCAGAAGAGCACAGGCTCCCCGGAAGGAAAGCTGTGGCCCGCAGCTTTAGCAGCAGTCATTCCATGCCAGGCACAGCCAGCTCCTCTGCCCTGTCCAAGCGTGTGTCACACTTGACTTGGGGAGGGATGCGTGCACGGCCTCTCCTCCCTTTGGGAGCAGTTGGTGCTACTCATCGTCATAGGAAGGTCTGTACTCAGACTCGTTCTTTATTCTTAAAACACAAAGGCATTTTCTTCTTCCCTGGGACAGTATTTCATGTGTCAGTCCAGCTGCTGCCCAAAGACACGAGTGGGTGGGAAAACTGCAGGATGTTGCCTCAGCGTTGTCCAAGCTCCAGGGGATTATGTGGCTCCATGTCGGTGCTGGGGCTGCCAGGAGACTGTGAGCTCTTTGAGGATGGGAACGATGCCTGGAGTCCCAGCACCAAGCCAGAGTAGGCAACGCCATAGAAGTGGGTGGGGGGGTGATTAGATGATGAGGTAAGGCCTGGCCACCTTTTCTCCAGGCCTGTGGCGGGTATACTGTGTCCACAGGAGGAATAGCAGGCAGGGACAGGGTCACCGCCAAGGGGAGCCCAAGGACCCAAACCTTGGATTGTCCCTGTTTATAGACACTGGACAGATGGGAGCCACATGAGGACATCTCCCCACTCCCAGCTTCTGAGAGTACTGCTATGAGCCACATGGCATATGCCAATAGGCATGTGATTTATGGTGAGTGTTTAGGCAGAACGGCCAACTCCATTATAAAGAAACTCCATTTTCAGAGCATTGGTTAATTGAGCCATCACAGCACTTGATTTCATTGTGCTATTGGCACTCTTTCCAGACTGAGTTAATCACTGCCATCCTTATGAGAAACTGCCTGCCTGTGGACAAGACTTGCCTGAAGCAGGTGCTTCTCCTGGGAGCTCTGGATGACTCTGCTGCCCTTGGTTCTCAGTTATTTATAGGATCACGGAAACCTGTATTGCAAGAGACCTTAGAGGGCATGCATTCTACAGATATATAGCAGCACCTGTTGTGTTGCGAGTGCTGCCTGATGGTGATGGTTCAGAGGATATCAGCCTCCAAAACTCTGACTTGTGTATTTTTTTTTGTGAAGGTAAAAATTACTTTCAGGAACACATTCAGGCTCTGCTTTTCCACCCATCATTAGAATT